GTTGAGAAACTTAAAGAGAGGTATAGTTGCAGCTCAATGGATTTTTCAGAGCAGCCGCCAATAAAGTACGGATAGCTGTGGTGATGGCCAACCTTCGATAGGAGAAGAACCTTCGATAGGAGAAGGAACTTCGACAAAAATAGGATATAAATTTTGTTCTGATAGTAACATTGTACTACAAAAAATTGACAATTTATCTAGAAATGGCGATATAGAAATCAATTATAATCTGTGCAAAATAAGAAATTGTATAGAGGTGAACTAAAATCAATATGATCTACTGTTCGATCGCATACTTTTTACATTTAAAAATTTTCTGAGGACACTCTGGAATTACGTCATCGAGGTTTTAAAAGCGTGTAGTGGTGAGTACCAAATGCAATCGATTTTGACTTTGACAAAATACCACAAATTACCAACGTTAAAAATGAATCATGTAAGTACATATCTTGATAAAATGACAGGAAATTTCCAACATATCGTACATCTAGTTCAATACTGCCACAACTCCAAAAATTCCAAAATTGAGTTAAATCTTTAAAAAGGTTGCATATATGATACCCCATCTAATGCAATACAACCTTAACTGAAATATTGTCTTGGATAAGTATAAAGTAAGATATTTCGGTATTACACTGTAGGGTTTTGAAATGCAATATGGCCATAACTAGGAGATGTGGCGATAATACACTCCGCTACAATACAACCGATATAATTCAATACGGCCACAACTGCAAAAATTGTTAGATTAGTGGTACGATTTTATCAGTTTTCAATTATTTATGCACGAGTAATCCACGTTTTTAGTGTACAACTATTTGATTTAAAGTCTGAAAACAGTGTATAGTGATATTATTATTAACTTTATTATCAAACACGATGTCAAGGGTAAGAAAAATGCTTGGACTAGCTTTGCAAAGCTGTCTTAAAGATAATGAGAATCTGAGAGACAATTCAGAGGTTTCTGACGTTATGAATGACATCTCCTTTGTGTTGACGGAGGTTTGTATTTCAACAAAAATCACAGTGAGGTTTTACTTAATGTATGTAATTCTTTAGCTTACTCCGGTTGCGTTACCCGTGCAATCAAATCATACCGTAAATACATTTGAAGATCAAGAAAATCTACATACAGACCCTCGCCAAGATGATTACATAGAGCAGGTATATTTTTATGAAACGAGAAACGGTTACTGGACCGGTGAAAAATAAAATAAGAGAACACATAAATTCTTTCCAAAGGGTAGAATCACATTATCTTAGAGCACAAACTACAAAGGAATACATAGATGGTTCACTTACTTTAGCTCAAATGTATCGCTACAACTAACTACAGGAAGAGAGTGAAGTCAGGGGCTAAAAAATGCACTTACGAGCATATTTTCAAAACTGAGTTTAACGTAACTTTCTTTCAGCCAAAAAAAGATCAGTGCGCAATTTGTGAATCATATAAAAATTCTTCTGCTGAACAGCAAGCTACTCTTCATCAAACTTATAATAAACATATCCATAATAAAATTAGAAGCAGAGAAGAAAAAGCACAAGATCTAGCAAGAGCAAAAGATGATTCTCAAGTATTGGTAGCTTGTTTTGATTTGCAGGCGATCCTTCCTACACCTTGTGGAGATGTTTCAAGCTCCTACTATAAATGCCGCCTGAACTGCTTCAACTTTACAATTTTTCAGATATTGCAAAAGACTGGTTACTGTTACTTTTGGCACGAGGCTATTGCTAACCGCGGCTCACGTGTTGAAATAGCTACGTGTCTGTTTGATTATCTTTCAAATCATTGTAATGATAAAGACGTTATATTTTATAGCGACAATTGTGTTGGGCAAAATAAAAATAAATTTATAGTTACCATATATCTCTATGCAATGGAAAAAATAAATGTTAAATCAATCACACATAAATTTTTAACAGAGGGACATACCCAAAATGAAAGGGACGCCACGCACGCAACTATTGAGAGGCAAAAGAAGAAAATACTTAAAACAAGTCCCATTTGTGTTCCTGCACAATGGCCTGTCATCATAAGATCTGCAAAAAAAGAGGGAAATTTTTAAAATGTAAAATGAATGTCAACAGAAGACTTTTATGACTATATAGATCTCAATTCAAAAATTGGAGGAAATTTTACAAAGAATACAAAAGATGAAAAGGTAGTCTGGAATGATATCCAAGTTATTAAAGTTGTCAAAAGCAATCCTGGATCTTTCTTCTATAAAACAGATTATAATGCCGATGAGTTCGAAGAGGTCCATTTTAAAGCATCGACAAGGGGGCGTTCAGCAACTGTGGAAGCAGTAATCGATTTAAAAAAGGCGTACATAAATCCTCCATCGATATCCGCAAAAACAAAGCAACACCTTTTGGAAGTGTGCAATAAAAACTTAATATTACCTGTTCATCACAATTTTTATAAGGACTTGGTTAATAGTAATTAAAAAAAGTGTTCATACACACTTGTAATAATAATAATAAAAATATTTTTTGTAAGAACTAGTTGATTTTTTTTATTATGTTGCCGCCGTATCTCCTATTTATCGTTTTATAAATGACTTTCTTTACAATGCATTATCGCCATAACTATCAAAATACAATTAACTTTTTATTTTTAATAAATTTTAATAAGATCCAGCGAATAACTGTATAATTTGCTAACTAAATTGTAATTTTGAAGCCAGTCATTCTAAAAATAAATTATTTACAAGGAATAACTCGTTTGCTACAGAACATTTTGCTCATTTCTCGAAATTATTGTATTTTGGACTTGTGGCACTATTGAACTAGGTGTGCGATGTATATATATATATATATATATATATATATATATATATATATATATATATATATATATATACTAGGAACAATAGGTAAAAGCTGACAAACAGACTGGATTAGAAAGTAACAAACAAAAGATATAGGTAGAAAAAAAGAGGTTTAATAAGTGCTGCCAAAAAAAAAAACGGTAGACCCTATAAAGTGAATGAAATGGACACTGAAGAATTTTTTAGTTTAAGGTTCTTTCAAAAATTTTAGGGCAAAAATTCACCAAAAATTCGGATAACGAGAAGGTAGTATGGAATAATATACAAATTCTTAAAGTAGAAAAGTGTTTTCCTATAAAAGTTTTTTACAAAACTAACTTTGACGATACAACCTACAAAACTATTGACCTTTCTACTCGTCGTTTTTCTGATAATAATATAATATAATAATAAAAGCAGCCTACGAAAAGCCTCCTACTGTAGGAGAGAAAACAAAAGAGCATTTACTGGAATTATACAAAAAAAAAAATCTTATTGCAAAAGTACACCAATCATTTTATTTCAATTTGTTGAGTTAATTTCTTGTAAGTGATTTATAATATACAATTATATAATTATTAAATTTATCTAATAAAGTACCTACCATTAATAACTTTGTCTGGTTCTTCATTGTTAATGTGTATAATCGTAGACCAGTTATGGATATTGAATAATTTAAAAATGTAATGCAATACCGCCATATCACAGAATAATAAGCAATCAGAAGGGCCACTCTCAGATGCCGCCTTTGAAGTTTTTCAGCACGCGCGCCATGTTTTAGGAGGACACAGACATATGATTTGTGTGGTTATGTAATTGTTTATATTTATGTTTAATTATATTATATTTAGGTTATTATATTTAACAATGTTAATATAATTGTATAGTATGTCTATGATTGCCGTAAGACAAATAAACCTGGTTAATTTTTCCATACACACCACATAAACAACACTAATTTCTTTAAAATCCTCCTAAAACATGGCGGAACGTCTGCGCGGAGGAGATGCGCGTACTTAATTTTCCGTGAAGAGTGGGTATTCTGTTTGTTTATTATTCTGTGGCCATATCTTACAAATATTTATAACGGTTAAATATTTCTTGTTTGTGAAAAAACATATTCATTCGTATGCTATTGAATTACTAATATTTAGTTACTTCTGTTAAAATATCTATTCTGTAGAGGAAAAAAACCCGTCAGTCATATTTTCATTTGCCTCTCGTGTTAAATTTATAAATTTGCAGTTGTAGCGGTATTGAATTGGATATGCGACTTGTCACAGATAATACACCTATAGGGTAAGTTCGGCCCTGACACTACTCCTACCTCCTCGCAAGTCAGAGACGGAATGAGAAGTCTCGATACGGTTTTCGAGTAACGCCATCTAGTTGTTGATACGTCGTTCGGTTACCACGAGGTGAGCTATCTATTGGGTGGTTTATAATCAATGCTCGAAGGTCTTGAGCCATGAAGTTATTGGAACGTTTTTTCTATTAAAATTTCAAAGTACACAATCATTTTTATAGTTCTTTTTTTCAACTTTAGGTATATTTCACTCAGTTTCTAGATTAACTTGACTAATGACTGATTTTGATCAATTGCTACTGTCTTCTTATTCACTGGTGTTAAGGTTTGTTGTAAGTACTCATTATGATAAACCACATCACCATCTGTATCAAAATAAATCTCCTTGCATGTCCTGAAAGAGTTTCTGGTAGTAGAAATAGTTCAGAATAATCATAATCATTATATTTTCCCCATTTTCTTGATATGATCTCGTAATACTCACATTTTGAATCACACGTTAGATGATGGTCTTACACCATGTCTCTTAAACTTTCAAGAAGAAAGAATAAGTGGTTTAGTTTTAACAATCGTCAAAAAGAAATATCTTTTATTGTTTAACTGAAAAAGTAGAATATTGTTCAATATGTACTTTTTTTTGAACGAGAATACAACGCAGAACTTAACGCCGAATTGAGAGCTTTATGTCATTTTTATATATTCAAATATGTGTGTACATACAAAATGGCTTATAAGACGTCATTTTGCAATGGACGATGAGCCGAAACTTCATACAATTTTAGAGTTCAACCAAAATTACCATTTGGAATGAATAAAAAAAGTTGGCAGAACGTTTTATTTAGCGTCTTGGACGAAGAAGAGACTGGTTAAAAAACAACAAAAATCATGCGTTGTAAATTTATTGTAAAATTAATAATCGAAACATTTTTATATACAGGTTTTCACATTTTTTTCTTCTTTTATCCAGCTTTTCCGATGGAGTATTAGCGTCACATGTGATGAATTAATGTCTGAATTATTTACTTAATACTTTATTTTTAAAGTGTAAAATGGACGTGTGTATGTTCAAACTATTTCTTGTACTTGACGTTCGTTTTTGAAAGAACTCCCTGTTTTTTCAATATAAAAGGTTCTAAGAAAGAAAAGGTAAGACTTTACTAATATTTTACACTATAAAATCTTCGTTCAATATTATGTTTATATAAGATTAAGTCACAATTCATTGTAATGATAATTACATTTTTAATGGCTGTTTAATGTTTCGATTTACACTTCGGAAATCGTTTTTAAAAAATATCATTTCAAAAAATAGTCATTAAAACCATGCTCCTGAAACTTAACTGCATGACCGTGGAACATTCCCCCATCACTTTGACCCATCGAGCAAAAAGACAAAAGAGAGAATCTAATCCTTATGAAAGGGAGACCAAAAAAGTGGCCTCTGATGGCGGACATATCCGGAAATGCGAATGCGCCAAATTTAAATTTTCCGCCACTTATTAACAGTAGCTATATAATATTTTTCAGAATGTGTCTTAGACGAGAAAGTTTTAATTAATTATTAACGACAATAGTCTAAAATGCGACACAATTAATAAAAAACTTCAATATAAATAAGATTTCATCTGACATTTGGGACAAACAATAACATAACCCAACTAAATTTGATGTCAAACAAGGAGAGAGAGACTCTCTTTCCTTGTTTAATGTGGCCTCTAAAGATCGCACTTCTTGTCTAAAGGCCCGTTTTCACGCTACGTCTTATTGTACGTTTTGTTGGATAGGACAAATTACTTACTTACTTACTCCGTGGCGTTACAACCCTTCGTGGGTTTTAGCCGACTCGACAACATGCCTCCACTGTTTTCTGTCTTGAGCAACCTCCATCCAATTCTCCACGCCCATAGTGCTTAGGTCTCCTGCTATATTATCTCGCCACCGGAGACGAGGGCGTCCGCGTGGTCTCCTTCCAGTTGGGACTTCCTCCCACACCAGTCTTACTGTTCGTTCGTCAGAATGTCTTCTGAGGTGTCCTGCCCATTGGAGTCTTCTGGACTTTATTTCTTTTATGATGTTGGCGTCTGGGTAAAGGTCTTCAAGCTCTTTATTAGTTCTTATCCTATATTGTCCTGATGCTTCATCAAGCACCGGACCAAAGATCTTCCTTAGGATTTTTCTTTCCCAAACACGTAGTCTCTCTTTATTTGTCTTTGTTATCGTCCACGTTTCGCTTCCATACATCACAACGGGTCGTATGATTGTTTTATAGACCTGTATCTTCGTACGTCGTGTTAGTTGTTTTGATTTTATAAGGTTTTGGATGGCAAAAATACATCTGTTGCCGGCCTGAATCCTGTTGTTTATTTCTTGGGATCCGTTATTGTCTTCAGTTATTGTTGTTCCAAGATACTTGAATTCTCTAACGCGCTCAAAGTTAAAGTCATCGATGGTAATGTTCTGACCGATTCTGTCTCTGCTTTGGTTATTGCGGCTCATATACATATATTTCGTCTTGTTTTCGTTGATTTGGAGCCCCATCTTCTCTGCTTCCTTCTCAAACCTTACGAAAGTCTCCTTCATCCTTAATCGCGTGTTTCCTATTAGATCTATATCGTCTGCAAATGCCAGTAGTAAGTTTGGTCCTTCTCGATGAAATATTGTATTCGGTTTTTCGATTCTTGCACTTCTGATTATGTGCTCCAGAGCTAAGTTGAAGAGTTGTGGTGAAAGTACATCTCCCTGTTCAGGATAGGATAAATCCTATATAATAAAACGTTGCATGTAAACAGCAAAACGTACGTCTTGTCGGAAGGGAACACATAGTGTGTATACACTGGACAAAACGTACGTTTTATATGACCAACAAAAAGTACAATAAGACGTAGCGTGAAAACGGGCCTTAACAATATTTTTGCCCCCACTACCTTTACATTCCCTCTTTTGTCTTTTTGCACGATGCTTTCACCCCAGGCCACAGAATAATAAATGTTTTAAAAGGAAACACATAACACAGATATATAATTTGTGAGGTTATGTAATTGTTTATATTTATGTTTAATTATATTATATTTATGTTATTTTATTTAACAATGTTAATATAATTGTATAGTAGTCTATGATTGCCGTAAGTCAATTAAACCGGGTTAATTTTTCTATGCAAACCGCATAAACAACACTGGTTCCCTCTAAAATATGGCGGAACGTCGAAGGAGATGCGCGTACTTAATTTTCCATGGAGAGTGGGCATTCTGATTGTTTATTATTCTGTGCCCAGGCAGTTAATAAAGAGAAATGACAGTCTATCTTTCTCACGAAGAGTTTAACCAATCATTTATTTTAACAAAATCTCGGGGTGTCAATAAAATAATCAAATGAAGCTTAATTAGGCAATGTCAATTCTGTCAAAAGTAATGACAGATCTTCCGTTTGTTTAAAAGTTTTCAATTTTATTTTATTATCTTTAACTTTGGTATGCATTTATTCTTAGTAATTTTAATTTAATTTGGTTACTTAATTTTTAAAGTTTACTTTGAGTTACCTATTGTAGCAAAGAATTTTTGTGTTGTGCTAGTATAAAAACTAAACATGATGAATTATTGTAATGTTCCGTTGTGTACAAATCATGGAAAAATTACAAAAAGGATGATGATAGTAAGTTGTCAAATAGTGAGTTGTCAGGAAGCAAACAATAATAGTATTTAACGTTTGTTTCCATTTGTTTCTGAAAATATGTGTCATAAATATTATGTAATTAGTTTATAACTGTTTTATCTTAAACAAAAAATAAATATACGTATATCTAGAAACATTGTGCATTTTTTATATATCCTTTTATTTTTTAATATTATATGTGAGATTATTTCATCGAAAATAGTAAGAGATTTTCCAGTAAATTTTAATTAGTAACGAAATAGCCCGCAAGAGGCGCTAAAGGGTATGTATGTAAGGGGTGTCCATTTGAATTTCACTCCAAAAGATGATTTGTAATGACCCCAGCCGCAAGGGATCCTAATGAACGAAATTTATACATTGAGTTGCCTATCAATTTCTAATATTATATTATTTATCTATTATTATACCAGATAGTATTTTAAGCGGTTATGTTTCTCAAACTTGACGGGTGACTTACTTTGACCTCGATAATGTAGGCAATTAGCCATGCTTTTAGTTGAAAATTCTGAGGGTGATGTTTTTACCATCAGAATGATTTTTCGAGAAAATTCTGATTATTATGTGTGTTTGTGTATTGTGCACAGCACATCCTGTGCAATTAAAGGTTAAAGTACGTTTATTGACGTTTCAATTTCCACTTCGAAGATCGTTCTCAAAATACAAACATTAGTAAATTAAACACATTTTGTTTTTTTAAAAAGCAATGAAAAACGGTTTGGTTTAAACTATATGTATTAAGTGGTGCATATGCATAATTGTAGATGATGTGTCTCCGATTTTCTATTAATCCGTTAATGTTGGTATATTCGTGTTGCTGGCTTCTTCTTTTATTGCTTCCTAAAATGAATTTTCATTGAAGCAGGTGTTTTGGGCTCTATCATATAATGATTTCATAAGTTCCTTTTTTCAAATGTATCAGCAGAATGTAGCTGGCTCTGGTTGCCAATACTCATAACCAGTAACAAGAATATACCAACACCAACAACAGATTATTAGAAAGTCGGAGCAACACAAAATACATAAACATATTACAAAAACAAATAATACGCAAACACACAAAATAATCAGAATTTCATATTATCCTAAGGCAAAAACACTTCTTCGTCACGTGCCAAATCAGAATTAGCCGACGTTGGCGATCACCATTGCAAGGGTTTCTCGATTTTCTGCCACATGGAATAATCATCCTGCATTTGGTACCTGAGTCCATTCATTAATGTTTTTTAATCAAGAATTCTTCCTATATCTGTAAAAACACTACCCTCAGAATTTGCAACTCAAAGTATGGCTATTTACCAACAAGATTGATGCCAAAGTAGAAAAATATAACCGCTTAACAAAGTTTCGGTTATAATAAAACTCACTATTATTTGAAATAATCTTTTTTGAAAACTATTTCCGTAGTAATCGAAACGTTAAAAAGCAGTTAAAAATGTAATTTTCATTACAATAAATTGTGGCTTAACACTTTGGCCGCCACGCCAAAGTGTTAAGCCACAATTGATTGTAATGAAAAGTGCGCATGTGTGTGCCAAAAATATACATGTGGGGCAGATAATGAAACATGTCTCTGTGTACTACGTGTATACTCTTATACACACATTTAAGAGGAAAGTTACCACGTCTAACCTTGACGAAATCGTTGATGATCAGTAATTCGAGAACACGAGAATGTCAGTTGTAAAGAAACACTCGCAACGTGTTTTAATACATTAATTATTGTGCATAATGTCTTACGAGAAGAACAACGGAGATTGCAGAGTTTATGGGATAACAATATGAGCGATGATAGCGAGGATCCATATCACAACGACTCAGATAATGATCCTGTGTACAAACAACATAGGCAGTAGTGTATTGACTTCTAGCGAACCCAGTGTAAAAAGATGTAGGATTGAGAAGCTGGACCTTGAAGGTTTGTAATCTTTTCTTTTAAAGTTATAACATCAAAACGAAACTCAAGATTATTTCTCAATAGGTAATAAAAACTTTGCATCAAAAATAAAAAAATCATAATAATTGTGGTATGAACGAGTCGTCAAAGATTTCTTCAATGTTTTCCGACTTACAATAACACAAGGAAAATGAACTAGCGTAAATATTTCCTAACCTTTTTTTTGTTTCAGAATCTAGGGATTCTATAAGGATTCTGAAACAAATATTTCGTCAAATGTTGAAGAGCAAGATGTGTCGGATTGGGTCGTAGTTGTAGAGATCCCAAAGACTTAATTTTCATGGGGACATTGGTTTGGTCAAAGAAGTACAAGACATGAAAGGTGGAGATACATTTGCTTACTATAAATTATTTCTTAATGAGGAGTTAATAAATACTTTAGTAACCGAAACCAATTTGTACGCGACACAAACCATAATAAAAGCCATTACGGAAGAGACCCCCATGCCATCCTTTAGATTAGGTAAATGGATCATCGTGATTCGCGAAGAAATGCTTTGTTTTTT